AATACCATCCCCAATGCTTACCATCAACCTCAACGAAATATGAATTATCAACAATATATGTCAACAGCGCCGAATGATATGCCAATGGTAATAATCAAAAAAATATAGCCATTTTAGTATATTCAATGTAAATATAAAATAATTTTTAAGAATGAACAGTACATGTCAAGTAACAGAGTAATGATTCCAAGTCCTTCAAGTGCATTTTCACCAGCAGCTAATGACCAGTCCACATCTAATCGTAAAGTAAAGGTAGCTGCAAACTTCAACTCTTCACAACAATAAATGTTTGTTTTTTACTTAATATAGTAATTTTTTTATTTTCATATTCATTTATATATTGGAAAGCGATTTGAAATTGCTGTTTATTTATAGGTATAACATACATTAGTTGGGTATTTTAATATATTTTTAAAATTTAATTTAAAAAATTGACCCAGCTTATTCCTACCCTGAAATATTAGGTTAATACTAAGCATTTTAGTTAATGTATTTTTTATTGATTATTTAATTTATGATTATATTATTGGATTAACCATTGTTTTAAACTTGATGTGTAATTTTAATTTTTTTTTTTTTTTTTGAAAAATTTGTAAAAATATGTTTTTAATTGTAAATATTAAAAATAAATATAAAGCGTGAAAGAAATTCCATATGACATTAATTTAAAAATTATTTATTTTTTATTACATCCATATAAAATTTAAACTAAATAGTATTAGTGCAAGTTTTGGTATTTAGTTAAATACTGAAACAAATAACCAATTTATGTTTCTCACACATTATGTAAAAAAAATCCATATTATGTTAATATTACTGGTTTAATTTTTAAATTTCAAATTCCTATATATCGACTTAGAAATATGATTGATTATGGTTGCATTACACTGTTTCTTATTGTTCCATTATCTAGAATTTAGCATTTGGCATAGTAAAAATGTAAAATTAAAAAATAGATTCTTTGAATTTTGTTAAAAGTTATTATTTACCATTAGTAAGTTGTAGGGTGTACGAAAATAAGTAAGGATGAAATTAATGAGATGTGTGATTTATTATTTTTATGTATACCTACCTATGTTTATTTGTTAATTAATATAAGATGTAATTTTTTTTACGTTTTGTTAGAATGAAGATTTAAAACTTAAGTTGAGCAATTCAAATTTGACCAAATATTCGTAAAAATCACATGTACCTAATCTATATTTGTTAAATTTACTCTAGATTTAAAATTAAGTTCTTTGTTAAATAGTAAATTATAGGCCGATTAAAATTTCAATTGACTATTAAATGGTACTAATTAAATTGGTTATTAATTAGTGATTACCATCCTCGACTGTCTTTGAAATATATGATTCTTGTAGATAGTAATTACAAAACAAATAATGTAGGTTTATATCAGTGATTCATAATAGCATAAAAAATATTTTATTTTATTTATATATTTTTATATTATATGAGTAATACTAGCGCTGGATTGGCAAGATATTGGCCTACTGTGTTTTAGGAATTTCTAACATTTGAATGCTTGGTTACAGCTAAGGGTATTGTACGATTAAAATAATTCAAATCAATTATACTACCAATACTTGTACTAATTTATCAAAAAAAAAAAAAAAAAGAATATATACGACCAAATATTCAAAACTAGTCCATATTTTGAGCAGCCCACCGAGTTATCTTTGGTAGCTCGACAGACCAATCAGAGCCTGGGCAATGCTGTAAAGTTGTATGTGGTTTTAAAACTTTCCTATAATTGGCGGAGTTATCGAAAAACACAAACACTGTTTTAATTTTATCGTCTCGGTGTGACCATTTATAATGCCATTTAATTGATATGAAAAACGCGTTTACTCCTTTACATAGTAGACCCTTCTAATCCACATTGATAATTAATTCGGTATTAAAGTCTAAAAGTTATAAGAATTATGGCCTCTGTACAGAGACTATGTAAAACATAATAAGTATAAGACGTATCTATATATTTATTATTTGTCTTGTTCTATTTTATTCCGTGATTAATAAACACAGGCAATATAGCTATAGTCCGCTATAGATACACGTAGGTATAGCCGTATAGGTTTTAATATATCTTACAGTCGGCGGAACTGTTAATTGTTATCGTATACTGACGTCGTATAGTAATATTAACGAGTTGCTTCTAATTCTAATACGAATTATTAAACATTTATACCTTATATTGGACTAGGTACCGATTACCGAGTAGATGCGTAGGTGTAATGATTGATGTATCCGAATTTGTACCCAAGTAATTTCGAAGATTATATTCGATTTGATTCTCAAATTGTTTTTTCAATTTATATATTTCATTTCATTTAATTTTTTCGAAATTTTATTCCATTGAGGTAAACATTTATGACAATGACAAATATTAGTTAGATTATTACCTTGGTAGTGAGTAGATCTTGGGCATGCTGAACTTTACTAGTTACCTAGTAGCTACTATAATATACATTCTCAAATTTCAATCATATAAAATGTCTATAAAATCAAATCATATAACAACAGCGGTGGTCAGTGGTGATACAATCAACTATGAAGGCGGTCAATTTTAAATCTATCATACAGCACATTAGTCTACTACCACTATTGCGTAATACATCGACACATCGCAACGAAATCCATTTCCTAATGGTATCCGGTGTCAGTAAGTACAATGCTTAATAATGTTGATATTAAAATGTTAAATGAAGTGAAAGCATTTAGTGCAGACCACAGCTACTTATATATACTGACTACCGAAATATTTTTTAATTTATGGTACTAATATAATGTACCGACAACATGGTCTGCAGATACTTTGGTGGCAACTAATATAGGTACACTTGCAACTCGCGCATTCATGCGATACAAATGGACTAAGTTCAAAGTTGTCTATTTTTACGTAAGTGAGTGTAAGTGCAGAAAACTAAAAAAGTGGGGCTATATGTTTCGACCAATATTTCGTCTATGGCGAAAAGATTCTTTCGAGGTTTATATTATTGTAAACAGCGGTTGCATTTGTATACGTGTTTTTGTTTTCGTCGAAAACATTGTCAATTTTTCAATAGTTGTTCTATACTCCTATAGCGGACAAATAGGTATGCTGCATGTATTTTAGGTATATATTATTCTTACTAACCACGAAAAATAGCTTAAGAACCACTATTTTAGTTATATTATTTAAACAATACCTACCTATAATCAGTGGCGTATTTAGGTTTTTGTCATGGGGGGGGGGATATGGCTTTATAAATGAAGATACCAAAAAGAATATTATATAATATTTCATAATATTTTAATTCTTGAAAATTTAATCAATTATTGATAAAAATAATAATAATAATAATTTTTAAAATAATGCAATGACTATAATTATTTGTGTGTATAAATCCCCCACATAAATACGCTACTGCCTATAATAATAAAAAGTTGTGTGGTAAATACTCATAAATACGCATCGGCATATTATATTTGAATGTATAATTTTACAAACTATGTATAAAATTTATTATGATTCATGGTTTAAGATATTGTACATATTTTCCAAAATCATGAATAAATTCTGTTATCATTAAAATGATTAAAATAGCAATTAAAGTAGCGGAATAATTCAATTTTGTGATTCTTTACTGGGCGTTTTATAAAAATAAATTGTTTTCTGTTTACCTACTCCAGCCTGATTTATATTCTTTTCGGGTTTAACAACGAGTCTATAATGCAAACAAATGAATCTATATCAGTATTGATATTATTATTTATGTTAATGGTTTTTTATGAAGTGTTGGTTAATTAAGTTTTATTTTTGTAATACTCTCACTGTTCTCAGTGAATTTTATGCTGATTTCTTTACGTAATTTACTAGGTACTTCCCATCGAATTTTTGCTTATCTATACTCATACATAGAGACTGTAATGGACCACTAACTGTTAATTGAGAATAGATTATTCCATCTCTCACTTTAGTTATTTACCCGGTAACTGGTGAGTGTCATTTAAATACACTTTTGTAGTTCTGTCGACTGTCATCTAGTATTATATTTTATGTACATTAAATATGCAAGGTGGAATTAATGGGGCATAAAAATTGTCTTTTAAATTAATTTGTGTGAAAATAAGTACTTACAATAACCTGCAGTTATAAAATATCATCAACAATTCAAAATATTTTAAAATAGGTGAAGTATTTTCTGATATTGTTTTTAAGCATACCATCACTTCAGTTGCGTCACACAAGGTCACATAATATGTAAAAATGATAATTCGTCCATACAGTCGCAAAATAAATGAAACTCGTAAACCGATTTATATATAATCATGCATATATTATATTCTAATCCAATTTTTGGAGTGTGTCAATATGTGTTGTTTACGTAAGATAATAAAATCATTACTAACAACATTTGTTCATATAAGTAATTAAAAATTGATATTTACTAAAATACGGCAATCTAATCTAATGTCGAAATCTAAATTGAGATGTGAGTATGTGACTGATGCTATTAATACGTTCTACATCTACACAAAATATGTGTAAGTAGTGTTCTTTATATTCATAATTCTATCAGTTATTATGTATCACCATCATCTAAATTCGTTAATTAAATCATAATTATACACAATTTCAATATATTATCTAATAGTCCATTTAATATTTAATATGACAAAGTTACTTTAATAAAAACTTAACCTGTTTTTGGAAATATTGGCCGACTAGGCTGTTGTACACATTATTTAAATACATTTTTACAAATAGCGCAATATGTTATATGTCATATATTTTATTAAAACCAACAATAACTATAAAGCATAAATCACTAACAAAGTTTTTATTTAAAAATATAAAATTATTATATTATATGGATGTTGTCGGTAGACGTTGCCAAATTGCTTCCCGCGCAACGTTTGGATAATGTCCGCTAGAGAGAGCTCGCCGTTTTCGTAATAAGTCGTGTCTGCGACCTACGTTCTCGTGCACCACTCCGAGAATCTTCTGGTCTTTCCTCCGGGCGGCACACCGGTGCGTCGTGCGTGTTTGTTTTTGTTGTTTGTTGTGGCACAGTGTCGACGAATGCGTCGTTGGTCTTAGTTCCGCTGTTACCGTCATGTAAAATATTTATTATTTTTTTCGTTTAATTTGCGATTTTTCGCGTTCTTTTAGTCATTTTTTATTCCGATTCTTATCGCCGTTTTCTCAATTATTTATTTGTTACATTAAAATTATATTTTGTTTAATGCATACACACATTTTACATATTAAAAATCTATTATATATATTTCGCGCACGCATATCGTGTTGAATATCTGTCGTACACTCGCACACGGTGTAGACAGAGTGGTTCAGCTGAATGTGAATTGTCCAAAAACTGCCAAAGATCAGAACAGACGACCACTAATCTTGTTTAACACTCAGTAGCAATTGTCGACCGAGGAATTTAAATGCTGGGCAATTGATTATAAGGTATTATTATAGATAGATTTGATTCCAATATTTCATTGTAATTTAAATTATAGATTATAGATATCAACATACTTCATTATTAATAGGAACGCTAAATCTACATAATTTTTAAGATTTTTTTTGCTATGTACCTCTCACAGTATCATTATCATATCTGTATAATTATTGTTATATTGTCGTAAATTCGTTATGTAGTTAGCACAGTCTAATGCTTAAAAAGGCCTTGTTTATAAAATACTTAGTGTATTTAGAAGAGAAGATATTGACACATTCGTAATTCTTTTTGAAAAATCGTTTTCAATTGTCTTTTATAATATCATCGGATAGGCGTTAAATTGATAGATGCAGTAATATAGGTAAAGTACACATTTACATTTATTATAGTATTGCCGATAATATTGACACAACCATGAACATCAGGATTAACTATCGAGTCTAGAAAGGTTGAGGATTTGAACTTAAAAATCATTGTCATTGATTTGTAATCAACCAAAAGGTATTGATGACATCCGGTAAAGTGAGTGTATGGTTGATCAATAATTATCACCGAAAAATAAACAATAAACGTAAAGGGTTGTAGAGTTAATAGTGCAAAACCTACTCGTAGAAAGTAATTAGCGGAAAATCAATTTGAAATCTGAACATCAATTTTTGTCCGTATACATTTGTATATAGATCTAATTAAAATACAGTAGGTATCTATTTACATTTTCACATTTCTTCTGCGTTTTGTAAAAACCCAATCATTTGTATTATATTGTCGCTTGTTAATAGCATTAATAGGCACCTACACAAACTAATTGTAACGATAATATATATATTATATTTTAGAAATCCGGGGATTTTTTCCATTCATTGTAGGAAATTTCCTATTTATATACACATTTTCACTATCTAATTATGATATAAATAATGATAATAAAAAATAATATTATATTTAATTTAAAAAATAGTTTGTTTATAGTTTTTTGGTAAATATAATATTTTATGGACTATATTTTTATCATAAGAAATATATTATGATTTTATAAATCATATTATAAGCTTCAAAAGTATTAAACATTAGTAATAATATGAATCTATTTTAAACACGTATTTGTTGTCTTTCACGAATACTAGTAATTTACATTTTAAAGTTTAAAATTTACAAGTTTAAATTTGTTAAAAACATATTATTTTCTGTTTCAATAATTAAATAATATTTGCTAAGTATTATAAATTTGTGGTATTTTATGTACGCTAAGAATAAAGAGCAGGTATTTTGTTTGGTTTAAAAATTATTTTTTAGAATTAAATGCTATTCAAATTATCAATACATTTAAGTAATAAGAGGATTTTATCTTTATTAATCCGCTGCATTTATGTTTACTAGATATTAATATTTGGTTCATAATCTCTTAAAGAATGGAAAGTTTTTGACATTATTGTTATTGACAATAATTGTCTTCCAATTATGTATTTGGTGTTTGTCCAAAAGGATATTGTTAATGGTGAGAGTTTAATAAGAAAACAATTATGCGCCAAAAAGTTAGAAAGCGGTCATCAAAAATGTTTTTATTTTATTACTTATCTATAATATTTGTATAAATAATAATCTATAAGTATCTATTATGAGCGATTTATTTTTGTTTGATACCTTTAAAGTATGATAAATATAATAGTAAGTTCTTCGTAGATGTACACCCATTAGTCATTTTATTTTAAAATATTAAAAAATACGTTTCAATGGCTTAGAAATAAGAATGAAAACAAATAGTCATTATAAATACATTAAGATTCTGCTAGTATAAGAAGCCAGTATATTATCCCCAGGTATCTTCTTTAATTGACTAATCTCTGGTTATAATGTGTTATAATTTATGATGACTGATGAATTTTGCTATTATTATTTATTATAACTTATATAAAGTAGCTTATAATAATCCATTAGATCCTTTATAATGCTTTTCTAAAAATATTTTCTAAAAAAAAATACATTATATCAATTAACTGTTTGATTCAATACAAGAAATTATGTTTAAAGTTTAAACTAAAATATTGTAATTTTTGCTTGGTTAGTTAACTTATATTAAGTAGTAAAATGTAGGTATAAGTAAATCATTTAAATATTTATACGTACATTATTTAAATAGAAAGTCATACGGAGTTATGAAAACATAAATTTCTTAATATTTATTATTTACACGAGCAATATGAACCTTTTTTTTTATATTAACAGTTACATTTACTCTGAAATAATATTCAATTACTTTATTAAATTTATTTACTATATAATTATAATTAGGTATGCACCTTAAAATTTAAATATATTTTTTATTAAAAAATATAATATATAAATTAGTATTGGTATTAATATGTATTTTTTTTGTGAATATTTTTTCTAGCTAATTGAAACTGTATTTTAAACATTTAAAGTTTTTGACTTTAAGAATGTTATTAGATTAAATAATTGATAGTGGAGGATGGGGTTGATATTGTCAGCACTTGTAAAGAATTTTCAAACCATAATATAATTTGGAAAAAATTGAAGTAATTGTTACTACACATCATAATTTGTTGTTCTTGTAAATATAATAACTGTAAATACGCGAAATTTTTGCCAAATATTAATATTAGTGTTATATAGACATAATAAAATGTTCTAATTATTTTGAATCTTATTCAATTATTTATATGCAAAAACCATAGTCAAGAGCATGATTATTTTTTATAAGTTTTCTTTAACTGGTGCTTAAAGTATCCAAAAAATATTGAAAATACAGAGTCACTATTTTTTTAAAAGCTTTTGGAGTTTAAATATTAACGAAAAAAAACATCGCAAATAGGCGTCTCATTGAAAGATTATTTCGAATATCAAAATTATACCGATATATATTTCATGATATAATAATCATGTACATAGTGATGGATATGTATAACTTTTTTATGGAGAAGTTGTACAAAACTTTAACTGTCCAAAAATAAGTGTTTTCATATATTTATAAATTATAACGCCTGCTTTAAAAAAAAAGTTTATAGTCTATAAAAAGATAATTTTAGGTCAGACTGTTAATTTCCTTAATTCAAGAGCCTATAATGATGTCTTATGTATGTACAATTACTATACTATGAAGTTTAAGGTGTCACGATTTAACTATAAACCATCATATTTTAAAATAATTTCATGGAATATTTATATACCATTTGAATATGTAATGATAACTTAAAAATACTGATATAAAAGTCAATATTAATAAAAAATTTAAAAAAAAACATTGAAATTAATTATTTAATTAAAAAATTGGTATTATTCTAATTGAAAAAAAATAGTCTTTATATATATATATATATATATATATAAAGACTGGTTTTTACTATAAAACAGTATCTATATAGCAGTCACATATAGTTTGTTATAAAATTAAAAAATAAAACCATCTTTTTTTATTATTTTTAAATAAATTTAAAACTAATAATTAGTATTTCAAAAAACATCGATAGGATTATCTACTAAATATTGTTCTTTATATATAATATATACACGTACTTTATATTTTAAGTATTTTTACCACTTTTTGATGTTATATTTTGTTTGTTTTGAGTGGACATAATTATACTACTAAAAGTTATTTGATTAAAATAGTTAAATTAAAGGAACCAGTCTAAGTAAATAATCTTTTAAATCTGTTTTATTTCATAGACTATACATTTTATGCGAGCTAAATATGAGCAATCATTTAGCTTATACATACATTATTAAATTTATTTTGTATGTTGGTCAAATAATGGTTAAGTCTATTGAGTACAAGATAATTTTATCTAACTTTTAAGTTTATAATAAAATACCTTAGTAAATAATGCTTCCTACTTAATACTTAATACTTCTTGAGGCTTACCTACATGGAATTCGTGGTCTTATCAGTTTATTTTTTTTATATAATTAATTATTTTCAAATTATTCTATGTTAATAAAAATATTAGATCACTCAATGCATAAACATTAGATTAAGCTGCACTTTAAGAATAATATATATATTTACTATCATCTAAGTTTATTAAAGTCATTTTATTTATATTTTTATAATATAATTCATAAGAAATTAAAAAAATAGTTTTTACTAAATGACATTTAAAAAAAAAATGAATTAGGAAACTTTGATTAATAACTGTAAAATGTTTTTATTTTAACTACGATAAATAATGAAAACAATAAATTGAAAAGACCTTTTTAATATGTGCCAGTCAACAATACAAAAATATGTGTCAAATTTAATGATGAATTATTGATAATTATTCACAAAAATTATTATGAATAAAGAGAACGAGTGTGGGTCAGGATCTATTCCTAAAAACAGTCCTACAACGTACCTGTATAAATCTTTTATTATTAAAATATTCATAATTTATTAAGTTGATCTAATTTTTGATAAAAACATTGAGTATAGCTTATAAGTTATAAGTCAATATCGATGTACCTGAGAAAAGAGCAAATTAATTTTTGGTAAAAATAACTCAAAATTAGAATATTTTGAAAATATCATCGTACTTTAGCACTAAAACCCCCTTTTTGGTGCACTATTGAGTAGCTTACATGTTATTATATATTTATTTATAATTAAATAATAATAATAATAATTTAGCAAGAATATAACAATATTACGTATTTAGATTTATCAATACTTTACATTAATATATTTTATTATAATATACTATATATTTCTATAAGGTAATGTTAAATATTGAATGGCTATTTATAGTGATTAGTGAGACATCATCGTTTTATAAGCAGGTGTTATTTTGTGCTAGTTTCTCTGAGGATAGGTTAATACTGTCATTATCTAGTTGGTTTTGTCATAAATTATTTAGTAAAATAGGTTGAAATAGGTTCTTTAATGCCTATGTTATAATTTATATTTACTGAAATTCGGGAATATACAATTACTTAAATTTTATATTTTAATAAAATTAACAAATTCAAAAATTTATAACAATATTTTTTTTCATTAATTCTAATTGGCCTA